GAACAAAAGAAAAAGACTTCATTCTTGAATAGCATCACCTCAGGCGATATTCCCTTCCCAACTGACCCTAGAGAGAGAGGAGCTTTGTAGCATGCCCTAGTAAACCTATCTGGCAGACAGATCCCCAGGCAGCAGTTGCCTTTAACAGGTGAAGAAGGAGCCTATAAGTAAGGAGTTGGCAGATGAAATAAAAGGAGAATGTTACCTCTTTTTCAAGGGTCTTGTATCCACACAGAGTGTTAACAACTTCTCCGGGGACCTGTTAAGAGAAGAACAGTTTTAGACTAGAAGCACTGTTTCGAGGAAAGGCAAAAGAAATCACAAGGGGTATGAAACTCTGCCCCCTTGGTTGGTGCCACAGACCTTTCAGCACAGTGCAAGGCAAACAGTTCAACAGTCTTTGGCTCACACATCAGTGGGAACTTCTGCCAAATGCCACCAAAGTTACCACCACACGCTGCACCCCAGTACCCTTTGAGAGTCAGAACTGGGACACCTTTGGTTCCACTTCTGGCAAATACCAAATGCTTTGCTCAGTCCAGGCCCTGATAGCTTGGGGCTCCTCCCAGCCTTACATCTTAGAGCTGATACCACTCCTTCTTAGGACAAATCCCTTTCCTTTCAAGCCATTGCCACTAGTTCCACTTATCCTTGTGTCCCCCTCAACCGTGTCTCTGCCCTCTTTGGGATTTTCCCCCTTTGGGTATTTAGCCTGACCAAAACCAGTCAGTAAGAGGTCACCCGCAGTGCTTGACATATCTTTCTTTGTTCACAGGTGTATATGCAGCAGAGAAACAGATAAATTACTTCCCTGTGGCAGGGGACTCATGACTCCTGGATGACAGAGAAGGGAGACTGGCTTTCCTAGGCAAGCGAGGATGAAGAGTGGAGGCTGATCAGAATGAGGAAGGGGGACTTTGAGACAGCCAGGTTGAGGAAGCAGGGTGACCTGTGCTTTGTGCCGCTATTGCTAGTTTTGTGTCAGGAAACAGAAAGGGGGTAGGGGTGAATTTTTAACTTTATGCAACATGTGAAATGGGTTTAAGGAAGAGGTGAGAGAAAGCCACCACTTCCATTTCATTCCTTCTACCCCCTTAATTATTGTTCTTACTAGAGTTGTTAAGAAAAGATTCAGGAAAATGAAACATTATACTTTTAAGGCAGGGTAAAAAAACCTTCCAAGAAATTGTCTTATAGTTCTTCCTGCATGAATGCCATTAGTTGCATTAATGAAGCGCCCAAAGCCTCCGACAGAGATCAAAGCCCAGTTGAATTCAGTGCTTTATATGCATGAAGTATCAAAGTTCCTATACTGAAGAATTCATGATCTAAACTGACTAAGAAAAGGATAGGGGGAAGTCGCTTACTTAAGGTAACACAGAAAGTTATAAAAAACCTTTGACCATTTAGTAAGGAATCTTTCCTATAGAAACAAATTTTATTTTAAGCATTCCTGGAAGTATTTTGGCCCTGAAATGACAATACGTGTGCTTTAGAGATTGATCCGACACTCCCTGAAGTCAGCAGCAAACTTCCAATCAATGTTAATGGTTTAAGAGCTAGGCACAAATGCGCTATAGAACGAGGGTAGGTGCCCTCATTACACAATTTTACTAGGCTGATTGAAAGAAATCAAACCATCTTTTCCCTGTTAATTACTAGAGAACTTTTGCAGTGGGGGCTTAGCAACTGGCCTAGGAATTATGAAGGCAGGGGTTCCTCATGAGTTGCAACCATTTCTTCCCTGCTCCTGTCAGAAAACAGACTTTCTTATAGGGGGTTTTTTTTTTGGATAATTTTTATTCCTACAAAAACCAAAGAAGCATCAAAATAGCTAGGGGCAGCATTCGGGGAGTCAGCAGGAGGACTTGTGAGCATGCTGACTGGCATGTAATTTAGCATCTCTCAGGATCCAGCCTGCAATGCATTTTGTTTGCTTATTTCATGGATCAACCTGGCGCGTTTCAGAAGGCACTCTGTCCCCAAAACGAACACCTTGAAAGCATGATAATTTTAGATGTAAGAAGATGCTGGCAACCAGTAAAAGCTTTAGATGCACAGACATGAAAAGAAGTGTGTTCATTTGCAGTGCAAATTGTCTTCTCTGCCACAACACAGCATAAAAAGAATTGCACCACTGAAGAGATTTTAGCCATTAAGCGTCAGCCCATTACTTTTCCAATTGGTGGGCCAGTTATACCAATGCTACTTTCCCACAAATCATTATTCCTACAATATGTTACAGCACGGCATTCTTGTAAAACATGATTATTGCAGTTTCCAGTTATGTACTGCTAAGCTGCCTTTGTGCAACAGACTGAACAAAGTTAAAAGAGGCTAATATGACTGCAATGATCAAGGAGGTGTTTGTGCATGTTAACAATTGGGTGAAACCCTGGCTCTCCTTAAGTATGGGGCAAAACTCCTATCAGTCTCTGTGGAAGTCCTGATTGCACCTTTTGGCCCGGGTCTTATAATCATTTTGATAGTGTAACGAGTGCATGCAAATATAATGAATGCCTATGTTAAGGCTCTATTATGCTGCCTGACAGGTATCTGGGAGGCTTTGTGTAACTGAGAACTGAGCCCTTTAAGTCCCTCTTCAATTACAATTTTGTAACCTTGGTGTCCCACCCGCCATGCATGAACGGCTCCTTTCCCTCCGCACGCTGTCAAGCCAAGTGTTGTTCAGTAGAATGTATTCTGCGCAGCCATGAAATTATGGCAGGGCGCATGGGTTTGCCCAGGTACTCAAGAGCCCCAAAAGACTCCCCTGTCATCCACGCGCCCTGCTGCTGATCCAAGGACTTCTGTCTCCTTGAGGTGCTGATGGGCACAGACAAGAAAAGCAGCTTTAAGTCATGGCGAGCCATAGAGAGGGCCATGAGTTAGTTTGATCTTCCCAATCCAACAGCGGATTGGGAGGGTGGAGGATCAGCTTCAATTTGGAGTGGATACAGGGAGACAGGCTGCCTCTGTGCAGCCTCTCCCCCTAGCTCAACCCCTCCCCAACCCTTGCAGCTCTGCTGCTGTCTCTAGATGGGAGGGCAGGGGGAGAGGGCAGGGGAAAGAGGTCCATTCTGTGGTTTTCTCAGCCCCACTGAAGTTGAGGCAGGTAGACTGGAGTCCCCCACCAAGGTGAGAGGCTCCAATCCACACTCCCCCCACCCGGCTCCAATAGGGCTGAGAAGACCCCAGAGGTGACCTCCCTCCCCTGCCTTCTCCCCCTCCCATCCTGGGCTGTGCTGCAGCCAGAGCAAACAGAAATGAATGAAGGCACTCCGCTTTGGAGCATATTCATTTGAATCCTCAAACCCTACAACGAGGGCTCTGTAATGGTGCTCTTCTGTTTGGGCACAGCTTTAGAGCATTTCCAAGGAGCTGACTGCATGACAAATATCATTTCTGTCTGTGCTTGATGTGTCCTAGCAGAATGTTCCCGAGAACATACCCATGGATCTGATGCCCGCCATCCTCCAGAGAATGTATGGCAGAGAAATGCAATAGTAAAACAATTAAAATTGGCTGAAACAGGAACTCACTGTACAATGCATTTGTACAGTTCCCCCACCATTTGGGGCATGGAGGCAATATATTAACACTGTTGCTTCTGTAGAGTTCATTAGAATGGGCTAAAATGCTATGTCCGAAGCAAGGTTTGCTGGTTCTTAAAATATCTTTGGTTTTTAGAAGAATGTCTAAGCACATTTCTATCCAATAATCTTTTTAAAAATTTTTTTAAAGAAATCACATTGGCATAACTCTATTAAAGCTCCTAGGGCTTGTTCAGAGGTTTCATTTTTTTGGCTGTATAAATAGGTCACCAACTGATCATTTAAGAGAAGCAAGAATTCTGATGGGCGATATCTTTTACTGGACCAACTATATGGTTGGGAAAGATACAGACAAGGTTTTTGGGTATCACACTGCCCTGCTTCATTTCATATTTATTTACCACTTCATTTTCTGGCTACTTCCAGCTTTGACTCAAATGACTCAGCTCATCCCTTTTTCCTGGTGCTATGAGGCCATTAGCTCAGCAATGACTTCATGACACCAGTTTCTGCTGGCATCAAATTTTTCTGGTACATTGATCCCAACCCAGCCTGCCTCATTTTTAAATGCATCTGTTACCATTCCTTGATTTCATCTCTGTCAATCACTTCTCTCATTCTGTTAAGCAGCTATTTTAATTTCCTCGAACACAATGACCTTGATAGATAAGATATGAGATAGACAGGGATTTTCAAAAGGTGTTGTCTGCTCTGTGTTATTACCCCATTATCAGAGATTGCAAATAACATGCGAGCTGGCCAACAATGGCCTGAAAGTAATTGACTGGTCTCTCAGTGAAAGGAAAAGTAGAATTTACATTCACAAGCACAACAGATGGTAGAAAAGGAGAGATTGCTTTCATGAAAGAAAGTTTTGAATTCCACATTAAAATATCCTCCAGCCTCTGCCAGCATTTAGACAACAATATTTTGCAGCTTTTACTAAGAAATGTGCTCTTGTTTATAACTGCATATTAAAAAGGAAGTACAAGACTCAGAGATGTGGGATCTACTCTCTGCTTTGTTCTGTGCGACTGCTCACTTCCCTGCTGTGGGTGTGTTTCACCATCTGCAGAAGGAGGACAGACAACATGACCTATCTTAATGTGAGAGCTCGATTCTCTACCTATGTACACATGACCTCTGCATCATTAATGCCACAATTACAGGCCTTAGTCACGTAAGTACATCACCACCATTCTAGCTCTCCAGGCTTAATTAATTCTACCTTAATGTGTTTAAAGCACCGAATCATTATCAGATGAGTCCATAGGATGTCCAGGTGGTAGGCATCTATCTCCTTGCTTTTTGGAGGGACTGTCCATGTCTACACAAGATGTTTACTGCAGAGTTAACTAATTAGCTGTGCAGTAAAACATCACCATCTATACATGCAGTGCTATTAGGATGGAGTAAACTAATTAGTAGGGCTGCGCGAAACAGAAGCATTCAGCTTCGACCAGCATTTCAGCGTTTCGGTGGAACAGTGTTTTGTTTCGACTTTTGTTTCGAGTCAAAAAGGCTGTTCTGTTCCATTCTGTCGAAACGTTTTGCTGTTTCGACCCTGTTTTGACGTTTCACCCATAGGATATAATGGGGAAGGTCAAAAAACAGGCTATAACTTTGTCATTTCTGGCCTGATTTGGATGAAACTTGCAGGAATGATAGCAACTTCTGAAGGTATGAAGTGTGACAAGTTTCAAGA